CTGACGAGGAGCAATTTTTTTACATTACATTTTGACTCCCCATTTTTAATTTTTCTTTCAAAAATACATCCAGAACCCAAATTTTCACACATTTTTTCTCAAAATTATTTTCAATTAAATTCCTAAATAATTTTTTACCCATTTTTTTTTATTATTATTATTTAAATAAATTAAATTAAATTAAGACAAAATAGAAATTAATGAAATTAAATAAATATATATATATAGGAAAGGCTTCTTGGGTGTTACAAATTCTCCCCCACCCATCGGCCTTTTCTACATGATATTCCTCAAGTCCATTGAATTGTATGTACTCTGGGAGTCAAGCCCCAACTCACCTTGTCTAAGCTTTGGGGAATTGTACTTATAAACACAGACCCACATACCATAAGTATGTATATACGTATATGCTATATGTATGTACGTATGGGTATACCATATATATATATATACATATTATATTTTTCAAAATAAATACTATATTGAAGGGTTGATTGGCACCCGTTAATTACGTAAAAAGTTTTGAGAGTCTTCTTCCTCAAAAAAGAAAAAAAGAAAAGGAGTAGGTGAAAGATTGAAGTTAATTAACTTTATGTTCCCAAAGATTTCATACCAAATTTCAATATGAAGCCAAATAAATAAATTATAAAAATTCAATAATTTAATATTTTTAAAGTAAAATTTGTAATTCATCGAGTTTATATAATTAAAAATATTTTTTTTAATTATTTCAAATTACTTCAAAATAATTTAATTTTGGTACCTAAAAATTAGTTATCCTAAAAAAAAACCTTATAATAAAATTATTTTAAGTATTCCAATTTGATTTGTCACATGACAAATTAAATAGGAAAATTTGTTATTAATTTATTAACTAATTAAAATTATTTTTTAAAAAACATTTAAACATGGTTTAACCATTTAATTTTTTTATTAAAAAATATTAAAGAAAAATGTTTAAAAAATATATATATATCAAATTTAGAATATTAATTTAATAATTTATTTATTTATTCAATTCAATGATTATGGATTTCAATATACATGACCCTTTGAAAAGCACTAAAAGCATTCATTGAATATAGTTTTCCAAAGTTTTCGTTACCAAATTTTATGTTTTTAAAATATAACTATGTTTTCATATATTATATGTAATTATTTTGATGAATTTTTTTAATTAAATTACTGATCAAAAAATAAAATAAAACGACAATGAAAATAACAATATGATATAAAATTAATTTATAATATTATAGAATATAGTTTTATTTACAATAATTTTGACTATATTAGTATAATTAATAACAATTCTTATTAAATTGAGCCATAAAAGATAATCGTACCTTAAAAAGGATTATGAAAGTACATAAATGGCAAGTATACATAATGGCAAAGACTATTCAACCTTAATATATATATATATATATTTATATTATAAGTAATGATTTAATATTTGTTTAAATTGTCTTAATTTTTAAAAAATAAAAATAAAAAGGAAAAAGAGACAAATAGTCAAATATGAAATAGTTGAGGGGTGTGTAAAATATAAATACAGCAAAGAGTAAGGGTCGTTTTGCAAAACAAGCCAAAGAATAATTACCAAAAACATAAATAAAAGCTTTATAACGACAAAAATAACAGCTAACGCTCGTACACTATTTGCTCCCCCCTCGCTCTCTCTTTCTCTCTCTAACCAGTCGCTGTTAAGTCGTCGTCTTCTCCATTAAGTAAAATTCTGTATTTCTCTTTCTCTCTCTCTCTCTAACAGAATAGGAAACTGATGTGGCAGCGATTTCTCTGAAACTCAGAAGAAACCGAAGGAAAAATCTAAGACAGAAAAGCAAAAAAAGATAAACAATCAGCATGTTCAAGTTGCACAAGAACAAGTCGCAGAAATCTGGAGAGAAACTTACCTTCAACTTCTCTAACTTTCATGCTCTTCAGGTTAATTCAATTTTTTTAAAATTTTTTGTTTCGTGATTTTTTTTTCTCAGTTTACTCTTCGTTATTATTATTATTTTTCAATAAAAGAGTTAAATCTCTGCTGATTCATTCAGCAACTTGTCTTTTCTTTTTCTTTTTCCCCTTCTGTTCTAATGAATTTATTTATTGTCATTAGCGGATTAATAATGTGCCAATTTTTTTGCGGTTTGATTTCAAATTTAGCAAATAGAGAACCGATTTGTACTTTTGTTGGCAGCATTATTTATTAGTCTGCTTTGTTTGTTTTTCTTTATTACGTTGTTTTCAAATTAGATTTTGCGCGTGTTAAATGTAACTAACGACATTGGCGAAGTAATCTATGCTTGCTTGCTAAAAAGGAAAATTAGTTTGAAACATATATTATTTTTCTTTTTTCCGTTTAAATGATATAATCTAAATGGAATATGAGCATGTTTAGTTAATTTTTTTTGAAGCGAATAAGGAGAGGTGATATAGGTAAATTTTTTGCAATCTTTGTTTTGATTTTATGTTGTGGTTTATACCTGTATTTGTTGTAAGATATTGTGGCCTAGCTGGTTAGAATTACCCGTGACAATTTACAGGATTCTAACAGCATGCAAATTGTTAAATTTTGGCTTTGAACCATTAATTTTCTATTTATTGTTTTGTTATTTGTTCTTTTTTCACAATTTTGTGGAGTTCGATTTGCCACTTGCAGGTGCCAAAAGGATGGGACAAGCTTTCCGTATCTATTGTCTCAGTCGAAACAGGGAAAACTGTTGCAAAATCAGGGAAAGCATCAGTGCGTAATGGCAATTGTAGGTGGACAGAGACTTTATCTGAGTCCATTTGGATTCCGGGAGATGATACTACAGGAGTGACTGAAGAATATCTCTTTAAGTTCCTTGTTTTTATGGTAGGCTGTGTGTCCTGTTTAGTGAAGCTTTATTTGTTGTATACCAAGAAAGGATAGAAAAAAATCTGTATTTTTCAGGTTTTTTTTCAAAATATTATTGCAGGGATCATCCAGGTCTGGTATCCTTGGAGAGGCTACTGTTAATTTGGCCAGCTATATGAGTTCAAAAACTTCAGTTCCTCTGTCTTTACCATTGGAAAAGTGCAACAATGGGACTATCTTACAAGTGAGTATCCTTCACTTACTTCCAGCTATGGCGGTAATAATTGCAGCTTCATCCTACACCTTCATTTGCTTTTCCCTCCTTTTAATTATTGTAGCTAAAATGTTTATAATATGTTTTTACACAAGAAGATTGACGCTTTCTGGACATGCATTTGTCTATTATTCAATTTCACAATGCATTATGTTCTGTTAGATACCCCTTTATTTCAGTCTCATGAATCTTTTCCTTGCATTCTATCCATTGTTTTTTATTTGTTTTCCTTAATGTGAATAGGATTTTTTGCAAATAATCATCAGAAAATTTAAAAAGTTAGTAACACTTGTTGGTAGCTCTCATCATGGAACTTCTTTTTGCAGCAAAAATTCATCGAAACTATTTTTTTGTGAGATAGAGAGAGGGAAATCTGTTAACAAGCTAGGAAGCAGGTGCCACCAAATAGAAGATGTAGAACTAAATTTTATGTCTATTAATAACCAAAGAGAATAGTTTTTATAGAGGTTTGGAATTTTAGTGGTTACACAGAAGGATATAGAAGAAAGTCTTTAGTTGGGAATGCTAGTCGGTGGAAATCCTTTTCTCTTTTGAGCTATCCTCTTTGGGGATTTCTTTTAGAAG